TGAAAGGCATCTTTTGCTATTTCAATGTCCCTTTAGAATTTGATGTAATTTTTCCACTCCCTGTTAAAAAAAAACAAAAAACTTCCCAGATGTTTAAATTTCTGTATTTGCTTGATTTTGTTATCTCTAATTCATAGTTTGTATCTTAGGCTGTTCTTCTTGCTGACAGCTAGTTTGTTCATGATGAATAGTTGATATGAAATATCCGAACAAAGTATGTAAATTGGAATATGTAAAAACGAGTTTGATTATTAAAGTTTTTTTTTTTTTTTTATATCCTTTTTGATGTATTGCTCTCAACAAGCATTTCAAAACAACTGAAAAAAATCCAAGGAAAAAATTGATACCATTGAAACTCTGATACTTAAAAACACTATGGTTAATTTGAAAAATTTTAACAATTATTAAAATTTAAAAATAAATATCTGAACAAATAGGATTTGAAATATGTTGAAATGTAAATATGGGAATTTAATATTGGAAAATGAAATGAAAGAATGTTAAGGTGAGAAAAATAAAGCTTTTTATTGCCAAAGGAAATAGTGAATGCTTAATATTAAAAAAAACATCATTTATGATTTTATACACACACACACACACACACACATATTACAGTTCAAAAGTTTAAAGCCATGGGATGAACTTGACTGAAGAGTGAAAACTTAATCATTAAAAAAAGAATGGCATCAATTATCAAACTTATACTTTGAGAAACTTTTGCAATGAATGCCAAAAATTTGTGCTACAGTAATCAAGGCTAAAAGAGGATATTTTGATTAGAGCAAAATTTAATCATAAAATGCTTTCTTTTTTCTTTTTGTCATAATAAATTTTCTAATGAAAAATCATGTCTCACTTTTTTTTTAACCATGTATAATAATTTTCTCTTCTTTAAAGTAAAAAACAACTTTTGGGGCCAATTTTAAAAATGACCAGAGATGGCCTCAAACTTTTGAACTGTAGTGTATATTATTTAGAGCTTAATCAAAATTTTATTAAGATGTTTAAACATTATCTATTTTAATATTATTTTAGTATCAGCTAGAAAAGGTGATATGCTAGAAAAACCATTTGAGTAATTGAATCATGATAGCCAATTCAATAATTCTTCTATTTATTCATGAAAGATGATGTCTACATAGAATCTAAGTTTATAAAAGTATCTAAACTCCAGATATTCCTAAATGAAAAGAAATGTAAACATTTAACATATGTTTTCTGAACAGAACAAATAACATTGCAATCATTTAAGCCTTAAACTTGAATTCCTGTTGGCAGGACATTAAAAGAGTACATTAGTACTCTTTTGAAAAAAAAAAAATTTTCAAATTACATCAGGAAATGTGACGCTGGTTTTTTAAAAAATGACTGAATTTTCTTTTTGTTGCTTTCCTGCATCTGATGTCAAATATATTGTTTTATATTTGTTTTTGCATTACAGGGACGAAATGCAAAGGAGATAATCATGTCATTTAGATTGCTTCTACTGCATTCAATTTCCAGATATTTTTGATTGTCTCCCTTGCAAACATTAGCCAAGTTGACTTGTTATAAGTTTTTGTCATTATTTAAAAATATTATTTTTTTTCAGTACTAAATATTTATTAATTTTGAATATTCAAAAACATCTTTTTGTTGCTTTTTATCACAATATTTTAGATTTTATTTTGAGCTGTTAAAGTAAAACACTTCATTGTTCGTTTTTATTTTGATTTGCCACAGTCCATGAATTGATAGATTAAAAAATATAAAAAGCATATGACTGCTGACTAAATGTTACCAAATAGACGGGTCTCCTTGCTACCAGAAAACTGCCAACCTGGTACGTTCAAAATAAAAAGTCAAAATGTTGCAGTCACTGATCAGCCACATCACCAAAAAGACAGTTAAAATCATTAAGGCCATGAAAGAAAGAAACTTGAAAACCCCTTTTATGTCAAGCAAATTCAAAATCATAAATTAGTTTCTTTCATTCTTCTCTATCTCTCATGATCTTCATTAGTATTTCACTCCTCAAAGCAGTATTGATTTTTTTTTTCTATACTTCAATATCCACTTATTTTCCCAAAGATTGTCATTTAGCAACACTTTTCTGATGACAAACTGACTTCTCACTGGGAGAAAAGACTCCTGAGTGATGTGCAGTATGGTGTGGAATTTCAAGTTTTTTTTTTTTGGTTTTTTTAAGCATTTCCCTCCAAGCAAGGCAGGAGGCCACTAGCATGCAAGGGGTTACAGAGAGTTGGAGCAAGAGCAAAGAGGAGTGATAGTGGAAAGGATGAAGAGAAGGATAGGGGATAGATCAAGGCATCTGGAGATGTCGATTGACATTACATTTGAATAGTTGAAGATTATAGCTATCGGGGAAACAGGAAAAGGGGAGGGAGTTCCACAGGTGAGAAGTGCAAAACACGAAGCTATTGGAGTAGAAGAGATGGCTATATTTAACAGTTTCGACAGTGAAAGTGTGAGAGTGAGATGACAGCCTAGTTGAACGCTTAAATTCATGAAGTCTGGGAACCAGCAAAAGCAGCTCCTCGGAGCAGTTACTATGAAAGTATTTGTAAAAAAGACAGAGGGAGGTGACGGCACATCTGTGAGAGAGCGACTATAGATGAGATGCCAGATCAGGGCCAGTTACATTGCATATCTGTCTCTGGATCTTATCATGGACCTTGAGACAAACAGAAGGGGCTCCAGACCATATATGGCAGCAATACTCCATTTCCTGTCACGGCACAGGGAGCCAACTTTCCTTGCAGTGGACGAAGCTATTGACTCAATATATTTGTTCTATCTCAGGTTAGCAGTCAATGTGAGACCAAGCAGTCGCAAAGAAGGAGCTCTCGTAGAATTGAATGTCAGACATTCTAATAGGGGGCAGGAATGGTTCTCTGTGGTGAGTAATAGAGAGCAGTTTTGTTTTTGAGGCATTAAAGTTAACCAGCCAATTCCTGCCCCAGTTCACAATTGATTGGGGGTCCTTTTCGAGACAAACAGCCAGGTTAGTTTTGTCAGCGACACTAGATTTGTTTTTGAGGCAGGAGTAAATAGTAGTGTCATTCGTGTCACACTTACATTGTAAGTACAGTTCGGTACTAGTGATCACAACTTCTACTATCAACCACAGTATTCAGCTAACTAGACTTGGTTAATCCATGTCATTTTAGATGACTGTGTCATTTTTCATCCCCTATCACCAATCACCATATATCAAGCCAATTTATTGGTCTGTTGATGTTTGTCTATGGAGAGCTGCTGACCAGTGTTTTTGTTATTGAAGTTGGCTCCTGTAGTTGAGTAAGGATTTATCTGACTTCTAAATATTGATTTGTCTGCCTGCCTCTCCATTATTCATTAAGTACCTTGGTGCTTGCATGATCATATGATCCACAAAGCTATGTCAGTGGGATTTTATCTCCTGGCAAATCCAGTTAGGTATAATCCATAAGAAGAAAAAAAAAGTCAACAGAAAAAAAGGTTATAATCATTAACAGAAATGTCCATTTCAAATGTTAGCCAAACTAGATACACAGATAAAACACTCACCACCATACATTTATCTGGAAATTTTAAGCTATACATGGGATATGGTGGAGTTTCCAAAACATAATTTTTTATTCAGCAAGTATTTAAATGAAGTACTTCCATGGTACAGGAGTTCACTTTTGGCTGGAAGTGGAGTAAACTGTTCTCATTTTAGAGAAGAGAAGGTGCCCAACCCAGGGGTTTCTAACAAGAGCATCTTCCTCATTGCACAAAGAGAGGTGTGGTTGGTTTAATATCAACACCAGCATGACAGTGGTCATGGGAACTGGGCAATTTTCGTTCTTGGTTCATATGCATATGTATGGACTCTGAATATAAAAAGGACCTTGTGACACATTATCCCTTAGTGGGGAAGCTGGTAAATATATAGTTAAGTATAAAAGTGTTTGCTACAAGCAATTTTGTTTGAATGAAAGTTTTTCTTTTTAGCCATTTCTACATTCAGTTTGTCAAGAAAATTATCTTGCTAAACAAGCCAGTAATAAAACCAAAACGTGTTAGTTTCAAATTTAGGACATATTAAAACTCAAAGAAAACAAAATATATACAGATCTATAATAAAATAGTGGAGAATCATATCTACTGCAGTAGATAAGTGCTAAGAATATTACATATCGGTAGACATGTATTTAAATATGTGGCAGACGTGATGAGACAGAACCTGGGACGAGCACAATTGATTGCGACTTGCCTTGTCCCCGCCAAAAAAGAGCCCGTATTTGCTTAGCATGTAAAGCTACTGCAGTTGAAATGAGGGAGAAAAAAGCACTTACTGCTCTGCCATAATCCGTCCTCGGCCAGATAACGTAAAAGAATGAGAGGGGACTTGCATTGCATTGCGTCCATGTCCCATAATGTATTGCTTCTTTATTGCATAAATAAAGAAGCAATACATTATGGGACATGGACGCAATGAATTATGGGATCACATGAAGACGCAAGGGATTATGGGTATATGGACAAATATAAAAGCAACTAATTTTTTCCCAGTGAGGGAGTTCTTTGAGTGACGTTCACGGCTGGCGGCTAGAAAAGTCTGTCAGTGCAATTTTGAGAGAGAACTCAAGAAGGAACAACTCGAGGTCGGAATACCAGTTGGAAGAGCTTGAATTTACTCGCTGGTTGCCGTTTTCTTTTTATTCGCCACAAAATATCAATGATCAAACTAAATCTCCCTAAAGATTTAACCTTATGCCAGATATGCCTGAATGTTGTAGATAAATGACTACAAACTACTGATACTATTGTTTTTTATAATTATTATTTTTTTTAGAGGAATTTCATTCTAGAGATGAGTGGGTGAATGTGAAGTTGGTATGATCAAAAAACCCTTAAAACTCAAAACACTGAGTCATCTTTGTGATAAATCAATAAAACTTTTTTTTTAGTTATATATATTGTCTTTTATGCCAATCACTTTTCTCTCTACCAATTCTTTTCTCTTTCTTCAGATGGACTTCCAGAAGTCTTCTTAGATGAACAGATGGAATTACTCAGAGCTCTTGAAATGTCTCGTCTTCAGTATATGCGTGAGACTGGCCTCATCAACATTCCAAGGCCAAATTCCATGAGGTAATCCCTATTTGACCATTTTTATTGACCTTTAGGGTTATAAATGTTTGAGTGGATTTTATTCATTGTACTGAGGCCATGTAGCTTAAAAAACTTATTGACCAGGTGAAATGATTTAGTTTAAATTATGTTTAAAAATATTAATTTTATCCACAATTTGATTCCCAGAACTGGAAAAAAGAAAAAAAAATAGAAAGATATTTAATCTTTAAAAAATATATGGGATAAGTGCCAATAAGTTCTTCAAATATCTTTATTATAATTCTGCCTGTTTCTCTCTTAGTTGCACTCTGCCAATACCTCATAAATAATGAACTATTCCATTTTGATTGTGTAGAAAGATAGTATAGACTTATGATGACCCCAGTTTAAAATTCGAGAGGAACACATCAAAATTCAGTGAAATCATATGCCGTAGAGAAGCTCGGTGGAAGTGTCATTGGCATGAGGAGCATTATAGATTCAGCTCGCTTCAGGTGAGTTTCAATTACTTTCCCGTAATTTCCTTCTTATGAGAGATGCTTCTTGGTTTCAGTGACAACATGGAAGAAAGAAAGAAGAGAAGATAGAAGTCTGTTTCTGTGAAATGAAAAACATTGTCAATTTCTGTTGTGGATTCCGAGATGAAATCCGGTCTCCAATGAATGACAAACACAGGAATGAAATATAACAAATAAATGTATTTACACAATAATACAATGGGTAATACTGTTAGTAAATCCAGAAACGCGGTTAGTAGCAATAATATATATATATATATATATATATATATATATATATATATATATATATATATATATATATATATATATATACACACACAGTCTCGAAGTAGGGCTTCCTTAGAGTCTACGTGCTTGTAACTGTGACTTCTACAAGCAGTTACCTCACACTATTAATCTACTTCCAACTCAATCACAATCTCTGTCCTCACTATCGTATGAAAAAGGGGTGGACCCCATAACAATTTCAAATCTTTTCATTTGTACACCCTTAATTCTCAAAATAATGACCAGCATTCATATTTATGATTGTTATTGCAATATTTTATTAAAGTTGTTATGTTCAAATATTAAAATGGATATTTTATATCTATGGATACTTTATGGTTGTAAAGCTCACCATGAGCTTATTCAATCATTAACTGAAGAATTAAGATTCAACAGAAAATTCAAATAGAAAAACTGTGAAATTTTCACAAGTATTTCTAGTTCCTAATATTTTTCTAAAATGTTTAAAACTTTTGGCTTGTTTTTGAATCAATGATCAATAAAAGTAAATATAACAGATTTTAATGAAACTTTTCATGTAAACTTTATTTAAAACCAATGAAAGCTGATTTTATAGATATATAAATTTTATTTTCTTAAATATATCCTGCTACCTAATGACATGTATCGTGACTTATAAATGAACTGAAATTATATAAGCCAGTATTCATTGCTTTAACTAAATGTGTTGAAAGATGGCATAAATTTATGGGTGACCACAAATGATAAAACTTGAATATTACCTGAAATAACAGAAGTATATTCCTAATATTGTAACATCATATCTTTATTATAATAGGTTATAAATCTTGATTTAAAGGTTTGAAAGAATGAAAAGAAAAGGATTTTAGCTACATATTTAAATTACCAGTTCACTATGGGATTTGAACTCGCTCAGCTTTGATTTATATAATCGTCTGTGGAACAAAATTAGATTAATGCTGCTTATAACTTTGAGAAAAGTATTTAACATTCCAAAATTTGTTTTGTACTATTGGATGTCTCCTTTATGTTATTTCAGCTGATCCATGTATATGTAATGTAATCAAAGAAAAAAAAAATGGTAACAAGTGAAAAAAAAGCCAATCATTACACTATCAATTCATTTCAGTAATACTTAATATGAAATTTTTTCTAGGTGTACAAAATATTATTGCAGTAAAAACAGTAATATTGTCGCATGTATTTGTGTATACTGTAGATTGGTGATACTGGAAGATTTGCTAAGCAAATTTCAAACATTATGTAATAATACTATTTATGTGTCAATCCCTAAATTTTCTTTATTACCAAATGATGCATCTTCATCATATTAGTTCAGATGTGTATAGTTTTAAATGTCTGTTTGATGCTGACTGTTTAGGTAGAACCAGTCAAAGATTGGATGTAACAATAGGTTAGAATGTACCAGTCATAATTCAAAAGAGGCAATATGATAATTTACATAAGTGCATCAACACATCTGGGTCTACAATAGGATTACTTAATAAATGTTCAGCTAAGCATGCCTTGTCCTATACCAAAGATATGTTCTCTGAATGCCCCTTATTCAAGAAACAGAGTCCCATTGAAAGTTGTGTAAATTATATATATATAAAGTCCTTACAGCCTTCCCTCTGTCAGCAGAAATGGCTTTTTGGCATGAATGCTGTACTTTATATATAAATTAATTAAATAATTAAAAAAGAGACAACCATAAAGATTCCATGACTATAATTTATTTCCCCCCCAAATATATTTTCCTGGTTCATCAGGTCACATCTCTAGTTGCAAAGGAATTTAGTTTCTTTTATTTTTAATACAAGTTTTTGAGGAATAGTTTTAGAATGATATAAGGTGACAGGGATGGTGGGAGGGTGAGGACTATGGAGTGATCTATATTGGAAATGGAAAGTATCCACATGGATTACCAAACCCTTCACTACCTTACTATATATATATAATGTCTTTTATACCCCCCCCATATTTTTAAACATTGAGCACACACTTTTATTCTTGAATGCAGCTCTGAATAGTGAGGAGTGATGTGTGGTCAGCTTTTTGTTTCTTTTCTTCTCTCAATTTACCTCTTTTTGGGTTTATATATGTTTTTCCTGCAATACTTGTAATGTGTTTTCTGTGTAGCCCATGAAGCTAAACTGGACAATCTAGTTGGTATAACTTTGTGTGTATGCATGTAGGAATTAGGGATTTTCTCTCTTCTTATGGATTATACACTGTTAAAAGAACAAAGGTTAGAAAATGGATCTGGTGAAATGTGGAGTTAGTGACATTAAGATCAAAAAAAGGAGTTCAAATTTTTTCTGAACAAAATTTTGAAAATATTATCATAGTATTTCCCCTTTAAGATTTTAACAGTTATCATCGGTACTGCTAAATATAAACAGCTAAATAATGACAGAAGCAAAACTGAACACATTTTTGAAAGGATTAGGCAGAGACAAAACATGAAAGCATAAGTTGAAGACTTATAGAATAGAGACTTTGAATGACAATGAAAATTATTTAACAATTAACATGACATTTCTTTCAAACATTTTTTAAATTAAATTTTGTTTATGTTAATACATGATATTTGTATCACAATTGTATATATTTTACTGTTTTTTACAGTGATTAACAAAGGAAACAAATCCTTGTAATAGATTACAAATTTCTTAGATAAAGCTTTGTTACTATTAACTTTTGACTAGTTTTTCTGTCAACTTAATTTTTATTGTTTTTATTGCAATTCTCAGTTATTTATTTTATTCCAATTAGATAAGCAGCATTAATAAGAAATAAAAAAAAAAATAGAGCTCCAATGAGATTTGAACTAGCATCTCTTACCTTTGAGAGTTTGTTCCTAAAGTTTTTACTGGTTGCATTTTTTTTTTCAATATGAGAGTTGCAATAAAAAGCAACAGAAATTAAGATGAAAGAAATACTAGTCAAATAATAATAATAATAGTAACACATTTAAAGACTTATTTACCAAGCCTTTCAAGTATATCCGAAGAAATATATCATAGTTTATATCAGTTTGTATTTTGTTTTTTCATCTCAAGTGACAGCAGTTCTATTGACCACCACGAGAGTGTCCATGCCAGCACTGGATCTCCCAGAGGACTTGCTGAATCCCAGGCAGGCAGCTTGCCTGAACAGATAGCCACAACAACTCGAACCAATCAAAAAGATAAGGTGACAACACCAGAGGAATTGGATCATCACATGCAGACTATGTTATCTTCATTACAGCTTAAAGGTAATTTTTTTTCTTTCTGGTATATCATTTTGATAAAGTTATTAAAGATATAAATTGGCTTAGGTTGTTTCTTTAAATAATTTGGTTATCTTTTAAGAACATTTTTATTTGGATATTCTAAGTATAAATGGCAGGAGTATTCATCATAAGAAAGTGACTTGTTTATTCTGGCAGTAATGAAAAGTGTAATTGAAATAACATAACCTTAATGTTTTCATCTTGATCCCTTAGCTATTGTTGCAGCTATCAGAACATGCCCCAGGCTTCTTAAGAGATAGGATCCTGAGCATTAGGCTTCAGTTAAATGTTGTTAACTTCTAGAATCACATATATAAAAACCAAAGATAAAACTCAATAAGCTTTGGTTTCTAACCTTTTATGACCAGGGAATATTTATAATGAAGAAATTATCTAGTTCCTTGGGATCCAGTTGTCAAGCAGCAACTATGTTGCATTAATTGGGGACAGTCCAAGACACCTGTAGCAAAAGCTAGTGCTATTTTTATCACTAGCAACAAATTTGTGGACCCCCTAATAAACCAACTTTTAGTTTTGCCTTTATGTGGAGGTAAATAAATAACAGAAATAAAAATCTACCTAAATCCATGTTTTGATACATTATCTGTTATCTCATGCATTAGTTCTCTTAATTCTATTTCCTGTATCTTCTCATTCTCTCCCTTATCCCCTTCCAATCTTCATTGCCCATCCATGTTTTTATCTAAATGTCATACAAACATGGATTAATTTCATATTTGAAAAAGTAATGCACAAATATTTTCTATTGTATCCTTGCTTACCATTATGTTCTTTCCAAATTTCATTCATTGTCTTTTGCTATCCAGTCAACAAGCCTGTTTCTGTATATCTTCCTTTCATTTCCATTCCTTCCCCATCTTTATATGCAAGGGGTGCTGAAAAGTTTTTGGCTCAACTCATTTTTCAAAATCTGACCAAACATTTGTAAATTTTTTGTAACACCTCTTTTCTTTAACAGGCTGAGAACTTTTCAGCACCCTGATATGTAAAACTATTTTCCTTTCACATGGTTTTAATTTTCTCTGGCTTTTTACCTCCTACCTTTTCCCAACACTCTTTGCCTTCATTCCCGACCAAAATTGTTTCTCATGTGATATCATAATGTAGGTTTCTCAGTAGGTAACTAACTTCAGCTCAGAATGGACAAGAATTGGACAGATACTACACTCTGATCCTTGGTAGAGAAGCATAATGGCTAAACAAGCAGAATAGAGATAAGTTGTTTGCTAGCTTCAGCAATTGAACTACTGTGTCATATAAATCCTTTTGTATGGCAATGAATACTGAATAATCTCACCACAGGTGAAGAGGAAACTGGAGACAACAGTTATGTGGTTCTCCTGAAGGATACTGAGAATTCCATAGATGGAGTCAGTAAGCAATGGGGAAGTCTTAAAGAAAATGGTAGCAAAAAGAACGCTTAGAATCAGAAAGGGATAACTGAAATTTCTTGGGCACACAATGAGAAAGAAGTATTTGAAGAACTTAATTCTCACAGAGCATATTGAGGGCAAAAGAAGAAACACACACACACACTATATATATATATATATATATATATATATATATATATATATATATATATATATTATTTTTTTATTATAAGAGAATACTAACTGGACAGTAATACATAGCAATATCAAATCCAAATAAACAAAATAGAGGGTGGACCGTTATTTACTTATAAATATTTTTGGAACTTAAAAGAAGTTAACAAAACCTCTACAGTAAAATTGGGAAATACTAAAAAAAAAGCTAAAACTTGTAAATCTTTAAATGAACCGTGTTTCTTATGCTTACATAAGAAACTAGAAATTATCTGATGTGCTGACAAAAAATCTCTATTAAATCAAAGAATTGAATTATCTTTAAATTGCTGAGATAGTTTATCTTTTACCTTACAATATAGTTAAATTTTTAAAATTAGGTAGTACCATTTATTGTGGCCATAATTTATAAGTTAGTATTATTAATATCTTATCTAGATGTTCCCCATTTTTAATTTCATCTACAGGTTCCTTTAAGAAGCTTCCTGAATCTTAAATTTAAAAAAAAAAAAAAAAAAATTTTCTTTTGAAATTAACTTTACATCTGATTATCCTCCTACCACTTGCCATCACTAGAAGAGGCATAACATAGTACTGAAACATGAAAGCTCTTGTGTAGCGATTTCAATGTTTTTGTACTAATCTCTTATAATAAAAATAATATATTGCTCTGCTTTGTATTGAGCACTTTTTTTAAATTAAATGCTACAAACAGTGGAATTTTACTCCATCTGTTCTTTCTCACATTTGGATACATATATAGCCAATAAGTTTTAGTCAAATTATTTATTTGACTTGATTAGTATTGTGCATTCAAAACTTTGAAAGATACATCTGTAGTTCTTTATTCAGTACTTTCTTGACAAAAATTCTGCTTGCCTTGAAATATATTAAATTCTAATTTTACTTATTTTGATATGTGTTATTGATTTGTTTGTGTGTATATATATATATAAAAAAGTGTATTTATGGGGAACTTCTCAGCACTCATCCTTGCACTGTTGGTGGGACCTAAAATATGCTAACTGCACCACCCACACACAAAAAAATCCATCATCTTAGATTCAAATATAGATGCAAATTATGTTTTCCTATAGACTTCAGTATAAATAAAAATAGATTTCAATTATTGAATAGCTCATTGGAGGTTGACATGTCAAATTCCAACAACCAAACCAAATCCACACCCTCCTCCACATCATTTTCAGCATGAATAAAATAAACACAGAGTTTCTAGCCCTCAATACCAGAAATGCTTCTTTGTAAAGAATTAGTGAAATATTCAATAACAAAAATGACTCCTCAATTATCTTTCTTTGTATTCTTTTATCATTAGATCTTAATAGAAGAAACCAATGACACATACACGCACACGCCAACACTGATGTCACCACGCGTGATGAATTCAGTGTTTACTTATATATATATATATACACACACACACACACACACACACACACTCTTTTACCCATAAATATGGCATAGTTTGAAACTTTTTATATATATATATGTGTGTGTGTGCAGCAGCAATCCATCTCTTCTGCATGTTTCATTATAAATGACTGACAAAGTAATTTTATAAAGATTTTATTTTATTTTTCCAATATGCAAAGTAGAGATTTTTTGGGGATTTACTGCTTGTAAAATTTATCCAAATAATTATTCTTTCTGAGTACTTTCAACTATCTGTCTATATTTCTGAGATGAGGTATTATTTACATTATTTGGACTATTGTCCTCATCTTTGTCGCCATATTTATCACAACGTTTCAGCCGTTGTACGCTCCAGCCTTCTTCAGGTGGTTTGAATTTCGAACTGAATCCTTTATTTCGCTCACTGGGGTAGACTGTTCTAGTTCCACGTGCCATGTTTTGATGGATGTCAGTTATCACCTGCTAATTTCCCTCTGAAAGTTCTCCACTGCCTTAACCGAGTATTGAACTCACACTCTTTGGGTCCTGTCACTGGATCTAACCAATGCCTTTATCCACTGTGCCATGTGAAAAAACGCCTTTATCCACTGTGCCATGTCTCCTTGAGGACACATGGCACAGTGGATAAAGGCGTTGGTTAGATCCCGTAAGTGGATTCTTTTAAATAATGTACTTTCAACTAATCTATTAACCCAAATCTTTGAAAATGGTTATCTTGTTGTAAATGCTGTCTAAATTGCTGAAAAGTAGACATATTCTTAATCCCAAAATACAGCCACTACATCATGGCTGTTTTTATAAGTGCTTTTATTATTTTACAATGTTTGTTGGTTTTTTTTTTTATTATATCACTTACACACCATTTACAACAACACAACCAAAATCGTTGAAAGTAGCAAATAGATTAGTTGAAAGTACTTTCACCAAACAATCATTTGAAAATTTTCATACATTTTGTTTGCAAACAAGAAAAGCACAAAAGGACAGTACAGTGATCAATAATGAAAATATATATGTTCAAAATTTGCCATATTTAAAGAGGCAAATATTTAATATAGACTGCAGATATAGGGATCAACACTAAATGGTGACTCTTAGTCTGAAGATTATATTGAAGACCAATGTAATCTTCAGACTAAGAGTGGCTGAATATCACATTGAAGTGAATGAATATAGTGATGATTTTTATGTTCACACTAATATTACCTATGTAAAATGTATATTTGTGTCGTAACCTTTCTTTCAAATGTGTTTCATTGAATATGGCAGACAAGGAAAATTTGCTGAATTTTCTTTTTTTATTTATTTTTCTACTCTGACATTTTTCCATTTGGTGGGAGTAAGGGAGTGTAAATTAGCCATTTTCAGGTGATTTAAATGTTGTTAATTTCTTTTTATGTTTCTTTGAGATGTAGATTTTTGTGATGCCTAAATAGTGGTATTTATTTAGGCATTACAAAAAACATCTCAATCATGAAAATAAATTAACAACACTTAAACAACAAACACCTTGACAGTGGCTGAAAGTGCTTGGGAAAAATACATTTTTTACATTCTCTTACTACCATCAAATAGAAAAATGTAAGAATATTAAAAAAAACTAATACAAATGTATGTCTTAGCTGATTGATGTTTTATTCAGCACCTCGACTATGGAATTTCATAGACTAAGCAATTTGTAATTGTTCTGTCCAGATTCCAGGTTTCAGATTCCTCATTTATTTTTTTCTTTACTGAAATTTGTCATTTTTCTACTTTCTCTCACAGATGGTCTCAACACGAAGACAGCTTTCCACGAAGTAGATTCTGCTGGTAATTTACCTGTCTGGAGAAAGCGCGATTCTCTTACTCAAAGAGATATCTCACCAATGTCCGCTGTCTCCAGCATGGTCCTTAATGTCAGCGACAATCAGAATTTAATATCTTCTACGCGAACAGTAGCAACAGGTGGGCTGATATCCAACTCAGGGAATGATGATTTGGAACAACTGGGAGCCTATGCTGGAGCCAGAGCTGATGTTAAGATGTCCACAGCAGCTGTAGCTGCCCCATGTAAAAACTCCTGTTTTGGTGCCATCAAATCCCTTTCGGTCACAAACATCATTGCTAGCGATACAGACAAAACTAACAGTTTTTTAGAAAAGGATTTTACATTTGGTTCTAAAAAAATGCAGACTCCAACCAAACAGGAAATATGCTGTACCCCTGAGAGAGCCAAAAATTCTGAGAGTAACATCTGTGACTTAGTTCCAGTTCTGAGTCCAACTGCTAGCACTTTAGAAATGGTTTCAGATATTGACACTGAAGATGCTGGTACTAGTGTTGGTGCTGAAGCCCTACCAGAATCGAACCCCCTAACGCCTAACGAGTCCCAAACCTGCTATTTTCAATCTGTAAGAGAAGCTATGGACTTTCTGGACAAACATGACCAGGAATGTCTGTCTTTGTTTGAGCTTTCTCAAAACCTGCTGCAAATGACTGCTGAAATGCAGGCTTCACTGCCACCCACTACTGATGATCAGCAAGAAAATATCATGACTGATGGGTCCCAGCCTAAACCTGGGGCTACTGCCAGGCCAACATCTTTGTCCAATGATACTGACCACCAACATCACAGGGATCGTGGCACTTCCTGTAACTCCAGCTCAAGTGACCAGGCTGAGGTGGAAACTTTGTTTTTCAGTGAGGACGAAGATGAGAACGAAGCGATTTATGATGATGACAGTGGGGAACTGGTCTCGCCAGACAGCCAACTAAACTATAGCACTACACCCAGTGTTACAGAAGAGGAGGAAGAAGAAGGAAAGGAGGAAGAAGAGAAAGAGGAGCAAGATAGGACAGAAACAAAACATTCAGTGGGTAGTTCTGGTCAATCGTTTTTTGTCTAAAATCAGTTTTCAAAACATTTTTTTTTCTGAAATTGGCTTAAAATTCTTTTAAAAGTAAGGAATTTAAAGAAAAATGTTTGTTTTTTTTTTGAAAATGCGATTGGTAAGAATGAATAAAATATTTCTGGATAAATCCATTTTAATTATAAAAAAAAAAAATTGAGTTGTTAAATGACTCAACATTATTGTTAATGATTTAAAAAAAAAAAAAAATAGCTAATTTTAGAAATATAATTTAAGAACTTATCCATTTTGTAAACATTAATATATCTAATTGTTTTTTTTTCTTTGTTTCATTAAGTGTTAGTTTTCTGTTTGTGTCTGATTTCAATTAAATGGAAAAACTGATAAACATTTTCCACAAAAAAAAAAAAATTTTTGTAAACATTTTTATATTTATTATTTTTTTTTTTTGCTAATGAAGTTAAAATGGCAGGTCCACACCAAATATTTACAACCATTATTAGTGTTTACACTTGTTTTCACTCCTTTTCTTTATAATATCAAATTATTGTTACAAAGTTTGACTCGGATATATAATTAAAAACAAATATTTGAAAATTAACAATCCTATGAAAAATGGTTGAAAATGAATAGCAAGAGGAATATTTTTTATATTTATTTGATAGAAACAATGAAAATTGTTTTCATGCTGTAATTTAATGTGTCTGAAGAATTTTGAAGATTAATTTACCTTTTTATTTTTAAGTTAAACTGTTTGAGGGGGTTTCTTATGCACACCAAAATTTTATCAGTTTTTTTTTTTTTTTCATTCTGTGTGGTAATCTGTTCCATTTGAAAAATTCATTGGATTTTTTTTTTTTTTTTTAAAGTTTTCATCAATTTAAACAGGGTATATATTCCAGTATTAGATATTTTAAAACTATATTTTTTCTTTAGGAAATCTTTACTCAAATATATATTTCGAATGACATTTCTACATTATTAAATGATTTTTATTTTTTAGATTTAAGTCAAGATTTCTTTTTGTATTATCAGTAAAATATATCTAAAGAGTTTTTATCTCTTGCTCAAAATGACATATCCTAAGTTATATTAGAAATAAATATTTTCAAAATGTCATATATATATATATATTTCAATTGATGTTTCTAATTTTTTTAAATCTCATGTAGAGAAAAAAAAAAAAGAAAAGAGGAACAAAAGCATTTACATCAATTGATCATTTTTTTCTTCAAGATGTATTTCTAGAAAGAAAACTGCAAGTAGACATGAGAAAACCATTTGACCAGAACTGTAGAATATTTCATTGGCTATTTTGATACAATTTCTGTATTTGGAGAATGTTCATTCATATTTTTTAATCTTGCTACAGAAATAAATTCTCTTTTATCATCAGAATGTCTGCACCCTATTTTTTTTCAAAAGACCTTTCCCCACTCAACATCAAAAATCTTTTCCATCCTAGCATTTCTCAATTGTCAATCTATCATTTTGATTTTTCAGTTTCAATTCATATTAAAAAGAAAAAAATTGTGGAATTATTTTTTCTATTTCTGTTAAAAAACATTGTCAAAAAATAATGCCAAAATAAAAAATCTTGAAAATGAAATTCCTTCTTCCAGGTTGGTTGTTGATGATTAAACTATTTACTCTGCGGGGGTGCCAAATAAAATGTAGGGAGGGTCTTAATAAATGGGGTTGGGAAAAAAAAAATGAGAAAAATCTTATAAACATGGGAGTATATTTTCTGACAAGATAGCAAACAATTAAAATTAAATGTCTATCAATGAATTTAAGTAAAAGGATTTAACAAAATAGAGAAATATTAGCAGAAAGCCTTGCCAACATTACAAAATAAAGAAATATGTATTGATGGTTAAATAATATATATCCAACAATATACCAATATATTATCTTGAAATGCTTTCATAAAATTGAAAATTCATCTTGTCGATTCAGTCTCTTCTTTAATAAACATTGGGGACAATATGCTTTGAGGAGATCCCAAAATTTATGTGGGGAGGGGGCTCATTTATTTGGCACCTGAAAGTACAAGAGGGTGTTGAAAAATTCTCAGCTGACCCACTTCCCTAAATCTGACCAAACATCAAATGTTTCTTTTTTTTTTGGCTTGGGGGGGTTGTTTAGCATGTTGACCCCATCAGATGGGTCATCTTATGCCAAACAGGTGAATATATATGTTACATATACTTTTTTTTTTTTTTTTTTTTTTTTTTCAAAATAGTTGAGAGGCTCAATTTGGTAGCTACAATTTTTTTTTATATAGTTTGTTTAATCTGTCAATTGGAACCATTTAAACTGGCACTCCTTATATACCCATAGATAAATAATTTTTTAAATAATTCAAAAGTTTCTATTTCTGGTTGAATGAGTCGTGGAAAATTCCTTTTATGTTTGGCTGAGAACTTTTCAGAACCCTCTTATAAATTTGTGACTTATTTATTTTTTATTGTTTTCCAACATTTATTCTATGACAGCACAGATTGGAGATAAAGAATATGTTGCCATCAAGACTTGAACTCTCATCCCTTATGCCAGTTTTATTGTAAAAAAGGCATCTTACTGATTAGACATCATTCCAATCAGTTACAGAGATTGATAAGATGGGAGGTATTGAACAAGATGTCATGCAATGGCAAGGTGCAAGTAGATCTTGTTATTCTGAAGAACATCTAGACCCAAGGAAATCAACACAATTACAAAAATGCACACCTTGGGCATCAAATTGGTACTGTTCTATGACTTGGAGAAAATTGCAGACATTTATTTTAACATGTCTGAGGCACATTTCCAACATCAGGCGGCAAGACAAGGTCACCAATGAGGAATTGTGATGAAGAGCAAGAAAAGATCTCTTTTTTTTTTTTTTTTTTTTAACCAAACAGACCTTACAGAGCAAGTGGGGTTTGACAGAACATCCTCTCATGAAACCAACATCACACTGACCTGGAACCCACTGCTATAAAAAGAAAAGAGGACTGCTAAGAAAAACTTGAAGATTATGACACTAAGAATGAATTAAAGAGATGGTGAAACAATCAGATGTTAGAAAAAAGTTCAATAGAAGAACAATATTGATGACCTTTGCTCCTTTAAGAAGGAAAGAGTCTCAAAGAGAAGAAAGAGGCTGGCATTATTCAAATTGACCATATAGTACTTTCATTTCTGATATCCACTATACTGCCATGTTGTTTGACACTAGTTGCATTTGTGATAAATGTAATAATAACTTACAAGATTTTTTTGTGTGCATGCACTATGTCACTTCAGGATGTGGGCAACAATGATTCTCCACAAACTATCCTTTGTAGCTCTCAGCAACATTTTTCCTTTTACCAAGACCTGCCATCCCATGTTTTGTCACCCATTCACACAAGCTTGTCCAGTATGTGGCTCATGGTCTTCCCTTTTTTTTTTTGATATATCCTGTAAGTGTCAAATTCAACAAGCACTCCTTCCTCATTATGCATCCATGAAATTTTGTCCGTCTCTTTGGGATCTTTAGTATAAAATGTCCTTTTCGTTTCCATAACACGTCATCGCTTATGCACTTTGTCCATGGTCTTCTCATCTTTCTTTAGAATCACATTTTTCTTGCCTCTGGTTTTTTTTTCTCTTCATCTGAGAGCAAATTGTCCAGCATTCACTGCTATACAAAGAAAGCTGATATTATATAACAGTTAGTTTAGAACATTTTTTGTTGTTTCTAACAAAATTTTCCTGTTTCTTAGTACTTAGCTTTAGGAATGCATGTTTTGATAGCAATGTGTGTTTGGATTTCAGTAACACATTTTCCATCCTCTGCTAAAACACTTCTCAGATATTTAAACTTCTGTACTTGTTTAATGTTGACATTTTCAATCTGTAGTTTGCATCTTAGGCTTTGTTCTTAAATTCTGTTCTTTTATTGTCCTTTCTCCTCACTATAGTCTTCTAATTTCCTTTCACTCTCAATAACCACTTTTCTTAGTGAAATTATCACCTTGCTTGGAATGAAATAAAAAAAAAAAAGAGACGATCAAATAAACAAGAAGTGAGGATTCAGAAAGAGAAAAAAAAGGTTTGCTCTGTTAAGTGTAAAAATGATCAACAATTGGAATTTGCAAGATTTTAGCAGATACAGGATCAAGAGGAACAATGTCCCATTTTTTCAATCTTAAAGAAATTCAATCTAGATGACTTCTATCATAACTGGCATGACAAAATAACAAAGAAGCTTCTGCAATTCTATCAGCCCTGACATCTCAGCTTCAGTTCCTTTCCTACCACTGTAACATATCCTCCCTATGCCTTTTCTATAAATATTTTCATGGCAAATGTTCAGATCAATTTTGCTCCTTGATACATCAACTTCAAATTTAAGTGCAGTACTAGATGGCAATTAGGTCTCAATTTCACTGTTGTAACCATAAGTTCTAACAATTTTTTTTTCTTTTGTACTTCTCACCTTCCAGCTTTCCTGTCAAGTACAATATTCAAAAATTTACATGCAACATCAACCATCATCAGTCTCTGAATCCTATTCTTTTATTGTCCTCGATAATGTTTTTCTCAGTTTCTTTCACTCTTGTGATTATTGCTTTGGATGAAATTTATTGAAAAAAACCTTTTTGAAGCATGCTGATGGCTTTGTTATTCCACACGCTGTATAATAGATATGTAGATAGCACACTCGTCTGTTGAAACAGCCAGATAAGATGTAATATTCAGGTAGAATAATTTGCCATGGTTAAGTGAAATTGGCAGAGTTCTAAATAAATAATACAAAAAAAAAAAAAAAATAGTACAAGACAAAGAATAATTATAATGCAAGTCAAAAGCAAAGGAACTATAAGACATAAATGAAGCAAAAAAAAAAAAAATCCTTTCCAAAGCAGGAATAGTTTTCACATGCAAAAGGGATACAGTCAAGTGGTTATAGCTTTCAGACAGAAAGAGCAAAAATGTCGGGGATGAGCCTGAGAATATTTCAGTGGTTAGTAAGTAATCCCAGCATGCATCTGTAGGACTTGTCT